CAAAGGACAGGCTGGGAGAGCTGGGCTTGTTCAGCCTGGAGAAGAGAAGGCTCCAGGGAGACATTAGAGCAGTCTTCCAATACTTCAAGGGGGCTGACAAGAAACCTGGGGAGTGGCTTTTGACAAGGGCCTATAGGGAAAGGACAAGGGGGAACGGCTTTAACCTGACAGAGGGGAGATTTAGATGAGCTCTTAGGAAGCAGTCTTCCCTATGAGGGTGATGAGGTGGTGGCACAGGTTGCCCAGAGAAGCTGTGGCTGCCCCATCCCTGACACTGTTCAAGGCCAGGTTGGACGGAGCTTAGAGCAACCTGATCTAGTGGAAGGTGTCATTGCCTGTGGCAGGGTTTTGGAACTGGATGAGCTTTAAGGTCCCTTCCAACCCAAGCCACTCTGTTTTCTATTATTCCAAGAAACCAAAATTCAGTGCTGGTTGATGTGCAGTGTTATTTCTTGTGATGCAGACTGAAGACCAATTAGACATGTGTACATGTGAAGCCAGTCAAAGGAACACAGTTCATTTTTCTGCTCCAAGGAATTAAACTCATCTTTGTTTATCTTCTTCACATTCCCAGTAGCTGACACTTCAAGTCTAGGTTGCAGGACAGATATGTAGTACCAAAACCACTAGTCCTCATTTCCTTTTTATCCATGTATTAAGAGGAAAGAAAAGCATCCAGTGAGAATATCCAGTGATATTCTGTGACTATATGAAGTATATACACAATGATATTTAATAGTTTATAGAGGCTGTAAAATATGGTAATTCAACCATAACAACAGCAGATACAGTTACGCGATTAGCTAAATTAACCGTAGTAACTACAATAATCTTGCAGCATACAATCATGGTAAATATTAGTAGCATAATGTTATGGTTATTGTGTTACGGATAACTCAAACTGCTAAGGTCAGCAAGAGCACTCTGTTGGTCTTTTGAATCCCTATTCAGAGTATAAGAGTCCCTGTAGGGTCATACTGCCTGGCATCTCAGTGGGAAAGGTGTTCATCTTGGCAGCTGCCTATTCTCAGAATCCAGAATCCTCTTCCCTGCTAAGGTTCTGCTGGTCCCACGATGCAGTCTCTCTATCCCCCACAAAAACTCCTGTATTTCCTTAGCTTCTCTTATTGTTCCTAGAGGGTCAGTTCAAAATCTGATCCAAATAAACTACTCATTTAAGCTCGATTCTAGCTGTCTTCCTGGAAAGCCAGATTTTTGCTAGATAGAGATGTTAATTTTTAATAAACAATGATTAGTTTGTCATAAAAAATGGTAACTACCTTTGGGTGGATTGACATTTTAGCTGCAGGTCCATCTTGGCTGAACAGTCCCCCTATTCCTTAACATACTTTCTGCCATTAGAGTCACATCAGATTTCCAACATGTTTCTAGTTCATGCACTTAATTTGACTTGTGGAAAGCAGAAAGAATAGGCAAGGAAAGAAATGGCAACAAAGTTGATTGTTTGTGTAGTCTTTTCCTGGCATCCACTGAGTGAATGTGGGATAAACTGGGCACCATGGTATTTTTCCCTGTTCTTTCCACCTGATGACTGAAGATTCCAGCCTGCCAGTATTTCACCAACATACAACCCAGTGAAAACAATTTTATGTGACAGCATAGTAATAACTTTAAAAGCAGCAATGCAGTTTACATACTTAAAATGTTTCAGCATCTTGCTGGTTTAGGTCCATAATTTCCACAATTGTATGGTGACATGAGTGAAGGCCAAGCAGATAATGGTATAAATAAAGCCTCTGATATTAAATTTTGTAGGGTTGGACTTTGAAAAAAAAATAATGATATTGTTGTCATCCCTAATTTTTTTTTTTTTTATATATATAGTGCAATATTTACCATCCTCAGGAAAGCTAGAGCATGAAAAAGGTCATTTTTATATTTTTAGGAATTATTTTTTTACTTCATTTTACAGATTTCAAGTGAAGACTCCAGGTGCTTTTTTAAAATTTTGCTCATATTAACTTCCCTTGTTATAATTTGATTTCCTCTGAAACAATTTCAAACCTGAATAATTCCATTTTATTCACCTATGAATCATAAAGCATTACATTTTGACTAATCTAAAACGTTAGAAAATGCCACCAACCTTAAATTATAACAATGAACTGATCTTTTCTTATAAAAATTGCTTTTGATGCAATGCCATCTTTCTCCAAGAGAAGACTACGTTTGTCCGAAATAAATCTGTATTTGGGTGTTACATATGTACTAGGCAGAAATGGCTTATTATTACATGTTGTAGCAATTGCTATGGATAGGAACCAGGCTGACAAGTACTGTGCTACTTCCTCCATATAATCTTTGATCTTCCCTCTATCCTAGCACATAGTAGCACCTGAGTGGTTGGTTTTGTTCCATACTTTCCTGTGGTCTAGATCTTTGATCAACAAGCTCTTGACAGAGAGGATCAACCCACTATTGTCTTGAGATGGAGGATCTGAAAGCATGCACGGGACACGTGTGTTACTATGATTTGTGTTGTCTCCTCTATTGTCCTCTAGGTGGCAAAGGAAGGTAAAGTCTGTAGAAAAGTTACGCTGGAAATCACCTAGAGGGGTCTACCTGTGACTTGAGAGGGAGAGTGAGCATTAGCTAGCCTGTTATATATAGACTGTACACAGCCTCGTGGTGTATGTCATTCCCCCTGCAGTGGTTATTGTTTCTATGCTGGATCTTCTTTTTCCTGTTCAGCCCTACAACTATAAGTTGATCAAATGCTTCCTTTGCCTCAGATGTGGAGACATCGTTTGTCTTGAACATCTCCCACTAAATGTGTATGTGACCAGCATCCACTAGGTATAAAAATCATAAAACAAATGTCCTTAATGAACATTCTTTAGAAGAACTGATTTAGAGAACTAGGTGGTTTTGAAGTTACTGGTTTCAACCTTGCAGGATGTTGTCCTAAATCTTGATGACAGTGAAGAAACAAAGCAAAAATATTGGCTTTGTTCAAAAATGAAGGATTTTCTTGCCAAAACCAAGAGCCCTTTGAAATGAGCAAGTCATGACAGCAGCAATGAATATTTTGCTTTACTTGTAAACAATTTGGTCTATACTTAATGGAAAAAAAATTACAAGATAAAATAATGAAAAGAGCATCTACTTCATTTCTATTCAGCAGAACCACAGTATTGATACTAGAAAATACTGAGTATTTTGTACCAACATGATTCTTTGATTTTTTTTTTTAAATAACATCTAATTTTCATTTAAAAGTCCTTTTCAAGCTTATTCATGTAAAATATTTTGCTGTTCTTTGCCTGGGTTTAAGTTAGTTACCTTATGGTTCTGATGTACTGAGACAAACCTTAATTCCATTTGGCACTTTAACTAAAATTTAGGCATCTGTAAAGGAATAGCTTCTACAGAGCAATAATTTTGAAGCTGATAGCTGCTACAGCCTTTCCTCTTCCTTTACAAAGGTCAAATGCCTCTATAATGTAGCTGAAGTGAAATGGTTTTAAGGAATCTTTCAGGTGCTTGTGAAATTATTGAGCAGGCAAGAGTCAGCAGCCGTAAAAACATCTGGTTAGAAGGGGAAATGACTGAGAAGAAGAATGTTCCTGGCAACCTGGGAGCCTGGGGACCAAAATCCTTGCAACATGCAAATGGACTTTTTGAAGCACAGCTGGGCACTGAGAAGCGGGACATCTGAGACTGTATCAATGGCAAAAGAAACTATGAAAGTGTAACTTATATTTATAGTCAGAAAAAGTCTGAGAAATTTAAATTGATCTGAATAAACAGAGCAAGTCTCTGAGCAACCTGATCTAATTGAAGATGTCCCTGCTCACTACGGAAGGGTTGGACTAGATGACCTTTACAGGGCCCTTCCAACTCAAACCATTCTATGATTCTATAATAAAGAGGGTAGCTTGCAGGTATCCTTGTTTCTGTAGATTTGCATGGGACAGCTTGAATTGGTTAATTTATTTCTAATCGTGTATCACCATAACCTCCAAAATTTCTGTGAAAACACTTATGGAAAGAGCTTCAAAACCTGTGAATCACCAAAATGCATGAAAGCTGAGAGTGTTGAGGGTTGATACTGCAGAAATAGTTTTCCTTGGCATCCCTTCAAACTAGAAGTTTTAAAGAAAGTCCTAATGACTGTGGGAGCTGAGATACTACAGCACTTCTCTCCCTAGTCTGATTTACTCAGGCATATACTTAGTTCTCTATTAAATCTTGCATTTTGAATGTAAAATCATAAAAAAGAGATTCTAATTAGTCATATGAAGTCTTAATAGCACACCTTTAATTCTTAATGGGAGTAGCAAATTTCAGGTATCTATTCTACTCTGAGACATCTATTCTACTCAGAGGCTTAATGATATTTCTCTTGCATCTGAGTAAGCTTTAGCCCCAGAAGTGCAGAGTTCAGTGGGCAAATACAGAGTTTCTCATGAAGGTTTATTTTCACTAGGTCTTTCTGTCCCACTTTTAATGTCTTTTCGCTGTAGTCCCAAATTCTCTTCCATGCTTGTTTTTGAGTGGTTTGAGCATCTGACTGTCTTGTCACAGAATCAAAGGATTGTTAGAGTTGGAACGGACCACTGGCAATCAAGTAGTTCAATCCCCTGCCAAGGCAGGGCCACCTAAAGCAGGTTACATAGGAACATATCCGTGGTGGGTTTGGAATGTCTCCAGAGAGGGAGTTTCCACAACCCCCCTGGGAAGCCTGTTCCAGTGCTCTGCCACCCTCAACTTAAAGAAGTACTTCCTCATGTGGAGTTGAAAACTCTTGTGTTTTAGTTTATGGCTATTGCACCTCCTTGTCTTGTGAGATCTGTCCATCCACATGGCTGCACTTAGTGGGAGAGTTGTTAGGAGGTGTAATTTGGGTGTCTTTGTGAAAAAGCAGATAAGAACAGTGATGCTCATACTGCAGAATATGAAGCACTGTGTGTGATGGCTGGTTTCATCAGTCATCCAGTTCGGCAGGTGACTGACAATGTGTTCTCTCTCTCCTGCAGTATGGGATAAAGAAGAAGGAAGAAAAGGAAGCAGAGGCTCAGGCTGCACTGGAAGCTAATGCTGAAGGGAGTCTGACACGCCCAAAGAAGGCTATCCCTCCTGGCTGTGGGGATGAAGAGGAGGAGGAAGAAGAAAGCATTCTAGACACAGTCATCAAATACCTACCAGGGCCCCTGCAAGACATGTTCAAGAAGTAGTAGATGCAGACTGTTAGATGGGCATAAACAGCACTGCAAAGAATTTTTCTTTTGCCCAATGGGGATTTACAACCTTCCATCCATCATGCAGCCCCACCTCTGCCCCTTACTGCTCACTGGGTTTCCCTTTGCTTCCCATTCCCTTCTGACTGCCTCTTGCCCTTTGCTCATCCGTTTCTTTTTGGTATATAGTCACATCCAGTAGATGACTCTGAATGGATGTAAAAATAAAAAAGCTGCAAACTACACAACTTTTATTATAAGCCATAGTACTATGTATGTTAAGGCAACTGTACATTAAGCATATAAAAGGAACAACCTTATGTGCATTTCCATGCAAAGCAGGAAGGATTGTTCACTAAATGTGAACAGTGGCTTCTTTAATTTTCTTTCTCTTTTTATTATTTTTTATAATAACTACTAGCCATTATTTCTTGTTGCTTGGCTCACAGTAGCCATTTGATGTTGAGCACGTCTGCCCTTGGAAAGGATATCACAGTTCTCCCAGGGGCAGAGCTTTCCTGTTTTAATTCCATCACTGGCATAAATAAGAGATCATTTGAAAGGTAAATCAGGCATGACTTACACAGCTGACATCACTCAGAACTGCGGAAGAAGTGAGTCATCTGCCCTCAGATGCTGGTTTGTTAGATGCCTCAGAATCTAAGCAAGAGTCATGTTAATTTGGGAATTAGCCATACACTTAACTTGAAAAGGCAGATTTGGTCAGACAGTTGCCATACAGAGAGCTGAAACCACAGGCGAGTTCACGGTGCTCTGATAGAGGACCTCCCCAACCCCTTTGAAGCCAATGACCAAGTACACAGGTCACTCTGATTAACTAACCCTCCTTCTGCCCAGTGCCATACTCAGCTGTCCCATTCCCAGCAGTGTTTGCAGGATGGACATTTGAATTTCAGTGTATTGTTGTGTTTATGTCCTCTCCACCCTTTCCTGCAGTGTGTGGGAGAGTGTGGTGGCCTGAATGCTAGCCATACATGGCCCTAGAGATCCAGAAATCCTGGGTATGCCTGCTATGAGTCATGTTAAATTACTGCGTTGCCTTGGGGAGGTCACTTATTTTCCTGTCCCACACAGCTGCTCCAGCTGTGTAATGTAGGTTTCAGTCTCTACCTACTGTAAAGGCATAAAGTCAAGATGCTTCTCCAGTGCTGTGCAGAAGCTAATTAATATTGTCACTGTGTGTGGCATCCCTTGATTCCAGTAGGGTGGGAGGAAACGTCTCTCTCACCATTATCTTTGCTGCCTTTCCCAGACACAGATACGGAGGGCTCCTCAATACAGGTCTGTACACATTGAGTAACTGCATAAGATAAGCCAACTTCTACTGCAGATGTTGATTTGCTGGTATATACACAGACTTAATACACAGACAATCTGATTTTGAACACAGACCCTCATGGTCAGGTATCTGGCTTGTCATTTGAAGAGCCCATCCTGGAGTTCTTGTGTTTGTCTAGGTCTCTGTAGTTGCTGATGCGAGAGCATCATGCCATCTTAGTCTTACAGTCCTGTAGGAGAATCATGATTTAGTCTGGTAGAACCACCATTGTTCACCCCTGTCATAGGAACAGAGAAGTTTCCTAAGTATATGGAAGACATTTGGCAGCAAAAATGAAAGCAATCTCAGATACTTCATTACATACCTAAATTAATCATTTTACTTCAATGGAATTTCCTTGATGCACTTGTTCAGTGGAAGAGAGTTTAGGCAAACATCTCAGTACTTCCCTGAACAAGAAATTTTTAAAGATATTTATCATCTTGTCAGGTAAGCAGAACAAATCTGCACCGTGGTTAAGGCAGTGAGCTTGTGAACTCTGTGCCTTTTAGCAGTATCTCTCATAAAAGAGAAAAAATATAATGAAACAGAAGAAATGTATTTATTTTACCCTCCTTACCCAATTCTTATCCATTGCTTCTTCACAAATTATTTCAACTGTAAGTTTCTACCAAATGCAAGGTAAAGGTTGAGGAAGTTTGACTGATCTACAAATCAGAACCAGCTGATGGAAGATGCAATTTATTTCAGGCTATGTCTACAAACAAGGTGTGTTCATTCAAGTACCAGCTGCCAAGGGCTTCCCAGAAGAAAAAGAAGACAGGTTTTACTCTTTCAGATAATGTCAGTGAGGTATTTTTCCTAACTTTCATTTAAAGCAAGGTGAATGTCTCACCCCCTTCAAGACTTTAATAGCCCAGAGCACTCTTTATCTCTGAATCCATGCTTGGGTGTAGCATAACTGTGTTGTGCAATTTACTATTTCTAGGGAGAGTGTCCTACTCACCCCATGAAAATTCAGCAGATAGTAATTTAAACCTATTTAAGTCAACCTGACAGAATTGAAAACTCACCATTTGTCACAAAGGCAGCAGCTGGTTTTGGTGCTCTGCCACAGAGGGAACAAAATCCAACACCCCTGAAAGCCAAAAGTCAGAGGATACCTCTTTGCTCTGGCAACTCATTGGCAGTGAAATCTAGATCACACTGAGATACAGACATCAATATTTTAAAAATGCTCTGTCTAATCTTTGTGTCCTGCATCCTTTGCATAAGTAGAACTAGCAGAAATGTGCCCATGCTAAAAAGAACACATCCATTCATATCTTCCTTTAGCCTTGTGCTGGAGAACTCTGCAAATAAACCTACCAGGAGGATGAGCTCATTCAGCTTTGTTTTGGCCTTTCTCTACCACTTGCTTGTTGATCTTTCCTTAGGCCCTATCATGGACTCACTTCCTCATTCAACCAAATACTCTTCTTGATGCAGAATCAGAATTTTCTTCCTGTTGTACTCCTTGCTGAATGGTTCTCCCAACTGCTTATCTTCACAGTCTCTGGCAGCTGGATGTGCATGTGTGTGCACGTATGTGTGGAAGAGGAGGAAAAGGGAGAAGAAAAGGGGAAAAGAGGGAAAGGAAGTGTGTTTGGTATTATGTTTTCTAACTGCCTCAGCAGCTCTGCCATTGCATGACTGATCTAAGTGTTTGTAAGCAGGTAATGCTGTCCCTGGGCATGTAGCATTAGAAACACTCCTTTAGTGAACTGAACTCCTGAGCTGTATGAACATCTGGGTCCAAACTCTGAAGAGGGCCGTAAGATCTCTGTACTGAGTTTGTTAGGCTTCATGCTGGGGTCAGAGAGCAGCAGAGAAAGGGAAGGTGGTTTACTAAATGTTTGATGAGTCTTTTCTATTGTGGGAGCCTCCCAGTCCAGTCGTGTCATCACTTCTGTACCTCAGCTGTCCACACCAGCGCTTCCTCCAGCAGAGATCTCAGCCAGGCCTGAGTTGGTAGTTCCTATTTTAATTGTCCTTTTTTTTTCAACAAAGAAACATGACGGGAGATCTACTGCAGGTACTGGGGAGGTTTTTCTTGGGTTTGCCTCACATAATTTTTGGCACCTTGTATGAGTTGTGGACCTCTCCTCAAGTCACTCCATTGTCCCTGAAGTGCCTCAGCCATGCTGAACAGACTGGAGAGCAGGCACTCTCCCTTCCCTTCTGCCCATCCATTTCCCTTCCCACTCTGAACTGGCAACATGGGACACAGACACCTTTGGCTCATGTATGAATGTGAGAAGCATTGTCTCAGACCCTTTCCCCCTCAGCACTCAAGCAGGTGTTGAAGTACTTAAATGAGACCAAAGACAAGCATGGTTCATTGTCTGGATTCTGAATATCTCTTTGTATTTCCATGCCATTGCTTTATTTGCATCACTGGTCTGTTCAATCTCAGGTAAAAGAGGTCTTTCATTTTTTTTAGCTAGTTTTTATTTACACAGAAAGGTTGGTGGCTAGACACTGCAGCCATTTCCTTCACAGTTCCAAGACCTTACTTATTAAAGGGAAAACAATTCAAAGGGCCTCCACATTTGGAGGGTTTAGTTTACCCTTGACCTTGTGAACTCACATTTGTATTTAGAGAAAGCCATACAAAATCAGACTGCAATATTAATTATCAATGCTAATCTTGTGTTTAAAATAAATAAAACAAAATATAAGATCATGTGCTAAATCACTTTGGAGTTTCTCTATGTTTCTAGTACTATACGTTGGCTTAGGTTCCTCACAGACCCTGTCCTCTGTCAAGAAAGACCATACCAATGCTGCTGAATACATCTTTTGGCAAGCTTACTGTGCTAGAACAAGAATTGTTAGAAGTTAGCTGTTGTGACCTCAGCATAATGTCGTATGTATCTGAAAGCTGTCTGTAACTATTCCGAATATATATTGTCAAGATAACTGTTTCATGTACAGAGTTAGTAAAAGATTTCATTACTGTAATTAAAAAATTGCTTGTTTTCTCACACACACACAGAGCAAAATTCAACTTAGCCATGCATTTTCTAGTAGAAATGCTCCCCAGCTTCCTTTCAGATGCATGCAGTATTCTCCAAGCAACTACAAGATGATTTAGTGGCTTTGTGAATGTGAACTTCATTTGTTACTTGCCTGCTACATTTTCCTGCATGATGGGGGTAAACAGTATGATGTTCTTCTAAAATGGAATCACAGCCAATAAAAATACTAGTGATTTCATACGCCTTTTTTGCAATGCATTCCTGTGAAATTCTGCCAGGCTACACTTGAAAATCAAAGTATGGATGCTGATATACAAATAGAATGGTAAAAGAATCAAGGAGAAACATGGGTGTTACTTGATGAGGCTTGACATTTACAGGTGATTATTAAATTTTCAGTAAGTTTTGCTGTTAGGAATTAGTGTTCCTTAGGATTAGCACAACAACATTCCTTTGAAAGAAACACAGTCCTCTAACTATGGTTTCGTGAGAATATGTCCGGATCTTAAAAAGTGTAAAAAGCTGATTTGCAATGATATCAAATATATCTTTGGATCCAGATTTTGTGAGGCATACAAAACTCTTTTGGTGGCAAGTTGTGCACAGTTGAGCCTTGTTTTATTTGTTCAGGGTCAAATCAGCAGTTGCTATGTCCAGCAGCATGTTAGAAAAAGAAAGAGAAGTAACCATACAACTCATAGGAAATGTTGACAGTGTTTTCCCTGTGAAAGCTTTTTTTTACAACCATTGCATGGTGATGTGTTGGCTTTTTTACTAACAGAAGCAGACAAAGGACTGTTACAGAGAAATCAGCAAGCACTCATGAATGGTTCTAGTAAAAATCACTCAAGTTACGGAGGTGTGTTAGGAACCTAATTCTCATACATTGATCCTGGGATACAATGATTAGCTCTACTGCAAGCTTTCAACCTTCATTGAGAGCAGTGGAGGCACAGACTACATGCTTCGGCAGATGCAAAACTTCTAAATGAAAAGCTGTGCAAAACTACACCACTTTTTGTCCCAGCTAAGTCCATTTTAATGGCTTCATTTAGTTTTCTTTCTGAAGTACCATGGATGATAGAGGCTGCATAAATCTTTCTTTGAAAATGGGGCTTGAATGAAGGTTACTGAACAATGCTGGCACAATATTGTCCTGTGTGCTGGACCCCAGGAGGTTTGTGGCAGGCATCAATAGACCTAGTTAAAAAATCTCAACCAAGATATTTAATTCTCCCTCTCCAGCTGTTCCTCCTCTCTTCAGGAAAGGCAAGGTTAAAACTGCATTGGGATATTTCTTGTTGCAGATAGCTCTGCTAAAGCCTGTCTCTGCTGGTTTTAGAGGTGATCTGAGATAGGTACTGAAAGCAAAACTGAGAAAGACAAATGGCTGGAGCATATAATAACATCATAGAATTGACCAGGTTGGAAAAGACCTATAAGATCATCAAGTCCAGCCATTGCTCCAGCACTGCCAAGGCCACCACTAAACCATGTTACTAAGGTCCTCATCTACACAGTTTGTGAACACTTCCAGGGATGGTGATTCCACCACTGCCCTGAGCAGCCTGTTCCAATGCCTGACCACCCTTTTGGAGAAGAAATTTTTCCTAATATCCAGTATAAACCTCCCCTGGCACAGCTTGAGGCTGTTTCCTCTTGTACTATTGCTTGTTGGGAGAAGAGACCAGCCACCTCCTCGTTCCATTCTCATTTCAGGCAGTTGTAGAGAGCAATAAGGTCCCCCCTGAGCCTTCTCTCTCCAGACTAACCACCCAAGTTCCCTCAGCAGTTCCCCATCAGAGTTCTGCTCCAGGCTCTTCACCAGCTCTGTTGCCCTTCTCTGGACCCGCTCCAGCTCCTCAATGTCTCTCTTGTAGCGAGGGACCCAGAACTGAACACAGGATTTGATGTGTGACCTCACCAGTGCCCAGTACAGGAGGATGCTCACTGCCCCGGTCCTGCTGGCCACACTGTTGCTGATACAGGCCAAGATGCCACTGGCCATCTTGGCTGCCTGGGCACAATCTGGCTCATGTTCAGCTCCATGAATCAGCACCCCTAGGTCCTTTTCTGCTGAGCAGTTTCCCAGACACTCTTCCCCAAGCCTGGAGCATTGCATGGATCTGTTATGGCCCAAGTGCAGGATCTGGCACTTTCTCTTGTTGAACTTCATAACATTGGCCTTGGCTCATAGATCCAGTCTGTCCAGATCCCTCTGCAGAGCCTTTCTATCAAACATCTATGCTTTCTTGAGCCTTCAGTATTGAGAGGGAAGTAGAGTTCTGCTAGTGCTACAGGATGGCAACCATATTTTCACATCAGGTTTGCTTTCCTCCCAAACCCTATTTTTTACACTGGAGGGCCAGATGTAGCAGTGTATTTGGCAAGCTCAAGTTGCAGCAGCTGAGAGCACTTCAAGTCAGAAAAAGACATCTTTAAAACTTTCATGATGAACATTTCAGCTGTGCTATGAGAGGTTTAGACCATGGCAAGGAACAACTGCTTGACTGAAGATGTAGTTCGGTTCATTTTTAATGAAAAAAAAAGTATTTAGAACATTATTTTTCCAATTTCTCAACTATGAGTTAAACAAGAAGTCAAACCCAAGGAAAAGCCAGTCTGCATGGGAAGAGACAATGTGTTTTGAAGTGAAATTTGGTATTCAGACTTTGTATTCTGTTTCAACTTTCACTTTATTGATGCTGAAAATGGCAAAAAGTATTGTATAATCGCTTCAGATTTGGTTATGTAAGACATTATCCTGAAGGCCACACGTGGTTGAGATGGGGCTCTTTTCTATTTCAGTTTTGTGGCTTGGTAAGCTGTGAATTTTCTGCATATGTGAGCCCAATATCTAGGAGCTGGCTTTTAAACCATACAAAAATGAGACACCTTTCCAGGTTTCCTTACCTTATAAACAGCTATACAGACGGTCACTAGATATTCACCTTTCAGCCACAAAGAATCCTTTTTTCGGTGATGACTGAGCACAGCAAATCTCAGACCAAATGTGAATATTTTAAAGTGAATGCATTTACAAATAAACAGATTAATATAGATTGAAAAAATACCTTGCTACTGAAACTCGTCTGGTAAACTTGGGCATAAAACCCACAACAATTACTTCTTTCTAAATAATAAGAAATTCTGGCACTTCTATTGCAAACTTTTAGTAAATAATTAGGTTGAAGATTGAAAGCCCTTCTTATTTAGGTAATTCAGTCGTGTTTCACAGTTCTAAATGGGGATGAAATGCAAGCCATTTGGAGATTTTTCACACTGTGTTGCAGTATAGCATTACAAAGCTCCTAATGATCTTGGCTTTTACCTAAAAAAAAAAAAAAATAAAAATCTTTCATCCTCTGTAGGACTGCAGCCATTTTTTAGTGAAGATGAGTCAGGCTGGCTTAATAAGCAATGGCAAAGAGAGAAAAAATTAAATGCCCACTATACAGTTAAAATCATGGGCTGGCAGATGGCAATTGCTCATGGCTTTTTTAGCTCAGCTCAACAGAGCTCTGCATTACTTTGAGGGGGGAAAAATGTGAAGAGAACATTTTAGTGGAAATTTCGTAGGCAGCATAAACAAGCTTTCTTATATACTGAGGTTGTGAGCTGGTAGCTTAGCGTGAATACTGCACAAGAACTGACTGTGGAGAGCCATCCCCATGCAAAGCACAAGGGAGAACATTACCCAGTTGTAAGAATCTAGTTCACTTGCCTGAGAAGAAGCTAGAGCTACAGGGCTCCTTATTTACACCACTGGTGAAAAGAAGATAATGGCAGTGACCCCTCTTCCATACGTCCCAGTGGGATGAACTGTCCTTTACATAAGAAGCCTTCTCTGAGGAGTCCTGCAACTCGGATGTCAACAATATCCAACGAATGTATGTCAGAAAGACTCTTGGGAATGATGAGATGAAACAAATGAAAACCATGTGATTTATCAAATGTTACACCAGTCTATGGCACCAACTAAAATTAATTAGAGCAGCTTTGGTGATAGGGAGCTATTTAAATGTATATATTTTTCAGACAGAAATTTATTTACCTGCTGTGAAGTCTGTAACATGCTTAAAGAAGTGGACCAGATGGAGTGTGCCCTTAAACACCTAACTGTGCTTCCTAAGCAGATTAACAAATGGGAAAGACATAGGACGTTCACTACAATTAAATGTTCATCAAGGATAAAAACCACCTGCTGCTGATTTGTTTCCCTACATGAACTGATCTAAGCCTCTTTAAAGCTCACTTTAAAGCCCTTATTCACTTAATGTTACTTTTTGTTTCACAGAGACTGATAAGTATTTTCCTCTCAGAACTCATTCAATTCCTTTCTACACTCATTTTCTTTCTCAAATGCTGATACAAGACAGTCATGCCTCACTTGAGGTATTCAAACGATGGTACATGAGTGTTAAATTAACTCTCAGCAGAAATGGAATGCCAAGCATCTCACCATGAGCTTTTCTCCTAAGTCAGGAAATTCTCTGAACTAAGAGTATTTACTCTATTATTTTACTCACTTGTGATTATTGTATTCACTCCAGACCAAGAATCCTACAGGAGAAGTAATGAAGACAATGTTAGCTTATTTAAAAAAAAAAATAAAGATTAAAACTTTTTATATCTTAACATATTAAAAAGTAATGGCAAAGATTAATGAAGAATAAAAATTTTGCAAGTCCTCTTCCTGCCTCTCTCCCATATAGTAGCTCTGAGTGGGGGCTCCAAAAAGGTTGTAGTCATCATGGAAAGCAATGCTTAGGGCTGCACAAATGTGGAGTTTGTTGTGAGTGATGTCCGATAGTACTGTGGCTGGCTGTAATCACTGTCAGTGAGGTAGGTGACTAGAAGTCTCCAGTTAAGACCAGTATCAATAAGGGTTCCTTATGGAAGCAAGCTGGGCTACATCTATGGTCTCAGATATGGTACCAACTGCTGCCAGGGAAAAAGCACAGACCTGCCATTAAAGGCTTGGTTCCCAGTAGATCTCATGTGCCAGAACACTATTGTCTGGTCCAGAAACCAGAAAGGCAGGGAGAGCATTGCACTGAAAGTGAGTTACTGTGCTAAAACACACTTCTCCACTGATGACTGTAAAAGTCTTCTTAAACCCTATCTGTCCTGTCTTGTAAATCCCTGTACTGGTTATATCCAAAGGCAGTACCCAGACTTCATGACTAAAATAAAAACAAAAGGTGTGAGGACACAAACACATACTTGTAGTGGTATAG